TAATAAAACAATGTGATTTCACCAAATTCAGCGAAGACGTTCAGTTTATCAACCAATTTTAACTTTTTGCGACCAGTTTTCTCGCGTTTCGGGCAACGTTGCATTTCATAGTCATGAAAAGCGTCTTTTCGGTTGAATTTAGCCACTTAAGTCCATCTATCGCATTTTAAAATCTCTGATTTATATAAATTTGGGTGGAAAACGTTTCGAATCATCCGACCATTTCAGAAGCATGACAGAAAAAGTACTTACAACTCGTCGTTTAGCGGTAAGATGCAGATAAGCTCAAGACGATCCTTCTCGTAAATATCACTGTTCTCGGTCAAAGACGGGTCTGGTTTAATGGTGTTATATGTCGCATTGATGCTTTGCACTTCCGAGATGTGGATATCGACTTCGTCCATCTAAACCTGTATACTTTAGTTTCTTCAAATGTGACATAAAAAAAGGACATGTGTTCCATCCGAAGGATGACGGCCAGCTTCCTTACCAATATTAAATCAAAATTAAAGAGCAACAGAATTTACTTTATTGCTTTCCATATCCACGCATCGTACTCTCACCGGAATCTTTGCAAACGTTTGCCACTTTATTGCAGACTCGTGTGTATATCCAGACAGCTGCTCAGCTTCATTAACCTCGTGCCAGTAGTCATTTCTAAATCCCAAAATTCGATTTCATTTAAACCTAGCCAGAATTCTGAATCTGTTGATTTTGATTCCTACAGCCATCACTGAAGGGCAGAAAGTTTTTCTTATACAAAGAATATTAGCATAACTCACACAAGGTATGATAATTTTAAACTGCGAGGTTTCGTATCTTTCACCACACAAATTACCACAATTTTCGAATCAACCAGCACATCCGACGTTATTCGATCTTCGAACTGGTCGTACACGGTAATAAAAGGAACGACAACGCGTGGGCGAACTGAAACTGTCCAGTTCTTCCGATACACGAAATCCTGCGCCACTCTTATCACCAACTGATAACTATAAATTAATCAGTTGGCTTCGATTTGATCTTACGAAAGTTATATAGAAAATGCTTTTACGAGTGATTACTTTTTCACAAAACATTTTAAAAAAGTAATCAGGAGGGAGGACATCGGAAGAAATATACTTCTCAAATCTATTGTCTCCTGATAACATTGGTGCTTATTCCCTGGTTCCTCCATCCTCAGTAATTTTTATGTGCTTGCATGAGCCAAAAATGTGTATGTGTATCCGAAAAATTTGAATCAACAGTCACGTAAACTAGAAACTTGGAGACACAAAGTTCTCGATGATGTATAGGCCAAACATCAAAAGTTAACTTCCAGAATCCTCTGCACTGACTGTGGACTTCAAACTCAGGACCCAGCTGACAAGGTAATTCGAAAACATACAAATGCACAACCTTCAAATTTCAAGGGCTCTATTGTTCGAAGCCGAAACTATATCTGTTACTGCAATTTCTTGCGCCTAGAGCTGTCATCCTAGTTCCAAATTCAAAGTGAAGGTAAATTTCATAGTGAACTGAGGGATTATTTCGAAAAGGTGCGAGGCTCCTCAACATTAGCTGATTGGAAAGCTTTGCAGTAGTCCAACCTGTTACCCAAAAGTCAAGGGGTTTCTACTAACACTGATGATAACAAAGGGAAGAAGCACTCAGTTCTCTATCTCTTCATGCCCTGCGACGCTCTGCATGTTAACTTTGTAAGTGGTGATTTCGAACTGTTACTTGCAACTAGTATTCCATATATTCATACCACTAGTGATAAAAGAAACGGTTTACAACCTATCATAATATGTTTATTCCAGTAGATGACGTAAACCGTGCTGCATTCGAGAGGGTCACAGATGCGTGCCCACAAATACACACACATACAAGCATGCGCAAACGCATACACACACATACACACACCCACATACGGTAACAATGATTGACAAAGGTAAGAAACAACACGGGAAAAATATGTTTTTCAATTAGAGGACACAAGTGCAGAAGTTGCCACATGGAATTTCCCATATCACAGGTTAGAATATTTGCAATGAAACGCTATTTTTAAGAGTGAGCGTAACACATGTGTTACCACTCAGAACCTCAAACACAGTCCAGGAAAAGAAGCTAAAAGTTGTACGTAGCAAACTGTGCCTACCGCTACTTAAAATGCACCTCCGCACAGTGCCAGAAAAGCACTTTGGATATTGTTGGAAAAGCAACTCACACAGCGGAATTTTCGACAGTGGCATTGGGGATAACTAGTTCGTCCTCGTGAAGATCATCAGTTAACTCGCTTTTTACGCCGTTTTCGACTTTCTCCACAAAATCTCCCTTTGTTGTCATTGTTTTGGAATACTGAAACGCAAATAATCACGGACTTTGACAAAAAGAACTTGGCGCCGCGGCGATGAACTGACAAATGGCCAGTTTTTTTTTTCTTTTTTTTAAATTTTTGTTCTACATGTTTCTAGATAGCAACAGTCGCACTCACTGTACTACATATTCCTGTACCACTTTATTGGCTTGCCCTTGCTTCGCAAGCAATCCTTGTCAAATTGAGCCAAATCTTAGCTCCCGTGCGTGCTATACATTCCCGAAAAACTTGCGAGCTTTATATTTTACTTTACAGCAAAAAGTTTTTCAAGTATGTATTTCAGGAATCAAATAAATCAATAAATGTAAAAGTTTGATTTTAGTTCAAAGACGAGTAAGAGCGCTGGTGTAATCGTGCGCTTTCGTGGCGGCACGCTGCAGTTTGTAGTGGGCGAAAGCATCGGTGCGTCACAAAAATAATGCTACTTCATAATGACAATGGTGTGAAATGTGCAACCTAATTTCCGATTATTCACTTCTCATCAGCTGGTGAGATAATAAATCTTTTGTCCATCCCGTTTTGAAAAAAAAATTATTGGATCGCCTCGAATTTTGGCCTGAGTGGCATAAAAGTCTAAGGCTAACAGTTATATCAATAAACACCTAAAAGTTTAACTGGGCGAGTGGTCGGCGTAAATACAGGTCTACTCATTTTGTGTACAGCGCACGTGCTGTATGCAAAATGAGTAGACCTGTATTTACGTTCCAATAATTTACAAACGACTGTGTGCAAATGTCGTTGACTGACGGAACTTGATGCTTTGTTGACTTAGCTGATTTCTTATTTACAGACTCACGTAATTTTTAACTCGTCTGATGAGCTCATTGTAAGTCAATAGGGGGTGAATTTAAGTAGCAACCTTTCGCCATTCGGAATCATATTCATCGTCTGGAAATGATCTCGCAATGTGGTATAAGCGAATTGTTCCACCTTCTTCCAATTCGATATCATTCGATGCATCCACAAATTTTAGCTGCCCTTTCGTCGGCGAAACTTGTAAGTGATACACGCTATGCCGAATATCTCGTGCATCATCTTTATTTGTCAGGATGCATTCATAATCACCGGAATCTGATATGCGCAAATCATCAATGTACAACATTTTCTGGATACCATCCTTGATTTTTACGTAGCGATTCGCAATTACACGGTCCTAAAAAAATGACTGCGGCCTCAGTGCACCGTATTTGCATAAAAAAGCCTAATCCGCATTCATAGGAGACAGTTTGCTGTGAGCCCATATAATTTTTGCTGTCCTTTTTGATAAGAAAAGTATTTACTCGTAATTAAGTTAAAAAAAAAATCCATTTGATGAGACGTAATAGTGTGAGACACTCCTCCAGAGCATTAGTCAGTACTTTTTCTAAAGAAGAAATAAGGATAGAAATACTAA